GCCTCCTGTGATCTCTACCCAAGGCCCTCTTCCCCGGAGGCCCTGCACCTGCCTTTCTGCGAGGCAGGTAGAGGTCCGAGGCCCAGCTCCCGGAGGGGAGGGTCTGAGCCTGTCCCAGACGCCCTCCCCCAAGCCCAAGCCCATTGGCTTCCACTGGAACCAGCCCCAAGCCGCCTCCTGCGGTGCCAGCCCGGCACACCCACAGGCCTTTCACAACACCGTGACCCCTGCCCCCTTTGGGCCACCAAGACTGTGCTGGCTTTATCTGAATCAGTCTCTAAGATGAAAACGGGGGGGGGGGGGGGGGGGTGTCTTTTCCAACCTGACACAAAGTGACGTCATAGAACCTTTTCAGACCCCCCCAAGCAGCCCAGCCCGACCTAGCGCCCTCCACCTGCTTTCTGGCCATCCTCAACCCCAGGGCAGAGGCCCCAGCCCGGGGAGAAAGCAGCAGAGCCAGACAACCAACAGGCATGCTGGCACGGGACAGGCTCTGCCCCCACGTCAGACTCACCCTCTCCCCTCCTGCAGGGGCTTCCCAGCCTCAGCCCTGCAGCACCCACACCCATGCCCCCGGCCCACCCAGCCAGCGGGGCCCTTCTAACAATGTCACCTCACTCAGCCCGCACATTGGCACGGGGCTGGGCACAGGGAAACTGAGGCCCCACAAGGGTTGAAGCTGGCCCACAGGCACAGCCCCTGGTGTGAGCCACGCCTGGGGCCACGTGGCCCAGTTCGTGGGCCAAGCAGAGCAAAGGGGAGCAGAGTGCCAGCTCACCCCCGGCTGCCAGCTCCTCAGCACTCCCCCCGCCTCTGGCCAGGCCTGAGGGCTGAGGGAGCTCCCATAGCCTCGGACCCTCTGGGAGGGGAGAGGCAGGGGACACCCCAGGGAAAGCCCGCTGGGGAGCCTGCTGAGGGATTGTGTGGAGCCTGGGAAGGACTGAGCCAGGCAGGGCAGAAGGAGGTGCCCTCTCCTTCCTGCCCACAGCCACACCCTGGCCATGGGTTGGAAGAAATGAGCTCACACAGGAGCCTGGCCGGCAGGTGAGCAGGAAGGGGGGGGGGGGGCAGGAAGGGGAGAGGACAGGCACACAGCAGGCAGGTGGAGGCCGAGGGCCAGAGGCCAATCTAGGAAGACAGCCAGAGCCAGGCAGGCTCAGCCCCACCCCTCCCCGTCCAGGGGTCCAGCCCCCAAGGTGGGCAGACAGGGTCCCCTCCGCCCAGCCAGCAAAGGCACAGGACCGGTTCTGGCCCGTGTAGTGACTTGGGGAGCTAGCAGAGGGCCCTCAAGAACCCCCATTCTTTGCAGCCTCCCTCAGCAGCACCCCCCCCCCAAGAAAGCATCCCTCTCCTAGAGACACCCTCAGGGCGAGCCTTCTTGAACTTCGTGTCTGACCTTTGCTCACACTGCGCCGTGGAGATTACCTTATCGCCCAGGTGGACTGTGAGCACCCCAAGGGCAAGGACAGTGCCCACACCCCAGCTGCCCCAGGGCGCCCCGGGAGGAAAGCCTCAGTCCTTGTTTACTGAGCAAATCCTGGCCGCCCACTTCCTCCTCCATAACCTCTAGTCCTCAGCTGCTCCGGAGCCAGAGCCCAGAGTGTGGTGGCATGCGGCTCCCCTCGGCCTCGCCTCGCTCCTCCATCCCTTCCTCCCAGTCCTTCGCCTGGAGGTGCGCCCTCTCAAACCCTCTCCTGTTCCCCACCAAGGCCCAGCTCTGTCCCCACAGCAAGCACTCGTGCTGGCACCAAGCAGGGCCCGGGCCGGCCGGGCGCCGGGTGAGGGATGAGAGCGCCAGGAGAGGAAGGGACAGCCACTCACTGCGCCCGCCCCCTCTGTCCTCAGCAGCCGCTCTCCTGCTCGCCTCCCCAGCGGGCCCGCTCCCCCACCCCGAAGGCATCACAATCCCCGGATCCGACCATCTCGGTCCAGACGGAGGAGAGCTGTGCCCGGCTGGGACCAGCCCGCCCGCCCCAGCCGGCGGCTCCGATCCCACCTGAGGATGAGACGGAGGAGGGGCTGCCAGCGGGGGCTGCGGCCGGCTCCCCTCGCGCCCCGCCTGCGTGACCTCGGCGGGCGCCCTGCACCCCTCGGCCTCAGTTTCCCTGGGGGAGCCCCAAGGGCATCCCTGGCTGCTGCGGTATGGCCCAAGGGACAGGAAGGGTCGCAGGGGCCTGGGTCAGGGGTCAAAGGTCACATGAGTCAGTGGCACCGCTCACCTAAGGTCCCAGGAGCCGCTGCCCCCATTGGCGTCTCGGTCCTTGTCCTTCTCCGGGGCCGAGGCCGGCGCGTCCCCCGAGGCGCCCACGTCCCGCACTTCTTCCGCTGCCGCTGGGCCGCCGCCACCGCCGCCCTGGCCCGAGGTCCGCGACCCCGTCCTCCGGCGCCGGGAGCCGCCTGCGCCGCCGCGGTCGCTCATGATCCAGCCGCACGCACCTCGCCGCGGCCGAGTCCTAGCGCGCCGGGCTCTCCGCGCCCGAGGCCCGCGGCCCCGCCTCTGGACCCAAGGCCAACGGCCGCCGCCGCCGCCCCCTGCCGGCCGCCGTAGCCCACGCGCCGCCCGAGCCGCCAATCAGCGCGCGCCCGCCAGGCCTGCCCGCGCCGGGTCGCCGCCGGGTCGCTCCGAGAGCCGCTCACTGGCGGGCGGGCTCGGCGCGCACCCATTTGTAGTCCGCGGGCGCGCGGGGCGCTCTGGGAATCGTGGTCGCTCGTGGCGGGGCACCCTGGGAGTTGTAGTTTCCCCGCGCGCAATCGACCGGAGGACCTTGCTGGCAGCGGTGCGCCTGCCCTGGCCGTTGGCCTGCCCCATGGCCCACTCCGCAAAAACAGGCGCGGGGTGAGGGATGGAGGTCAGTTATGAAACCCACGGGGCGTCACCGACCGGCCGCCGATCGGAGCCCTGTCTGTGGGAGCTCGCCTCGGCCCCCCACCCTCCCCAGCGGGTCAAGCGCACCTTGCGGAGATCGACTGTGGTTCTCACCGCGGGCACCAGCTTCTCCTCGGCGTCGGTTGTCAGACAGGCGCCGGGCCAGAGAATGGAGCGGGAGAAAGTCCCAGGTCCCGCGTCCCTGGGACGACCGCCCAGCCCCAGGACCCGGCTGGGATCCGGAGACCGTGCTGACAGCCGGATTAGGCACGCCCCTCCAACCAGCCTCCCTCCCGCCCGCGTCCGCAGACGTCCCAGGCGGTCCCCACCCAGACAGGTTAGCCAGGGGATGCCAAACCTCCGGGACCCGGGCCTTCTGTGTCTTTGTAGAGTCTGCCACCACCCCCCCCCACCCCGTGCTCAAATGAAGCCAAGCCACCATGACAACCACAACAAGCGGCCTGCGGGCAGGCACGTCTGCGTCCCACCTTGGCTTAACCGGCATCTCTCACGGGACTGGGCTGCGAGCATTCTATCTGGACCTCAGGGTTTTGGGCTTACTGGGGACTCAGGCCTGATTTACCTAAAACACACCTGTAGCAGGCTCAGCCTGAGTCGGTGGCCTCTCCTCTGGGCCTCTGCACCACCACCTCTACAGCGGCGCCCAGGGCCACTGGTAACACTTTCTTGCTGCCGCTGGACATTCTGGGGCTGATGCCAGCCTGGCATCCCTAACTGGCAGGTATTTTTTGTTGTTTTTTTTTAACTTTTTTTAAAATATATTTTTATTGATTTCAGAGAAAAAGGGAAAGGGAAAGATAGAAACATCTGTAATGAGAACCACTAATGGGCTGCCTCCTGCACACCCCCCACTGGGGATCCAGTCTGCAACTTGGGCATGTGCCCTGACCAGGTGTCGAACGAGGGACCCTTCAGTCTGCAGGCTAATGCTCTATCCACTGAGCAAAACTGGCTAGGGCTCATCATTTATATTTCTCTCTCTCTCCCTCCCTCTCTCTCTCTCTCTCTCCCTTCCTCTTTGAAATTAATAAAAAATATATATTTTTTTTAAAGTGAAGGATCGTGTTGGAGGCCTAATAACTATGTCCACATCCCAGCTGCAAGTGCTCGGCTGGCAAATGGGGACACAAGTGATGTGACCAGAAAGGAGGGGGGCGGGGGTGAAGGGGGCGATGCAGGGGAAGGGGGAAGCCAAGGTTCCCACACTGGAGCTGAGGGCCAGGGGCCAGGGGGAAGGCACAGACTGAACGCACCTATAAGGAGGAACCTCGGCTCTGAGGGGGAGCGGGGCCCACATAAGCCCCACCCTGCTGCAGGTCAGACTCCCTACTGTCCACCAAGGGAGTCTGGGTGGGCCTCTCTCCTGCCAGTGTGGGCTGACCGGGTCTCACCTCGAGCCTCAGCTCGTACCTGCCTGTCTAAGTGTCACTGGTGTGTGTCTGTGTCCCCAGGCTGTCCCCACCCTGCACAGCCCCACCCTCACCTCTTCAGCTGGGACTCATCCTCTCCAGGCTGAGGGGGCTGTGGGTGCTTGTGGAAGCCTCTCGGACCCTGGGCACCTCCTCCCCAGGACCATGGAGGCCTCCTCAGATGGGGAACCTGTCCCCTGGGTGGGAGGGTCAGGATGTGGGGATCAGGCTGCAGGAGGGATCAGACCTCACAGCACCCTCGTCAATTCCACTTTCCTCCACCGGCATCAAGAGCGCTTGCCAGGGCAGCAGGAGCCCCCAGGGAGAGTGGGGGCACCTCTGGCGTCCCTCGGGACTCCGGGCCCTGCTGGACCACTCGGCGATTCCAGAACCGGCCATTCCAGAACCGCCCTGAGCTGGGCCTGGCTTCACGCAGGAGGTTGGAGCTCCTGCAACTCCTGCAGAGAGGAGGTTTACCTTGGGGGGGGGGGGCGGAAATTGCTTTGCTTTTGGGGGGGAGGGGTGCCCCTGGGTCGTGTAAAGACGCTCTTGCAGAAGGGGACATGGACGTGGAATGCACCTGAGCCAAGGGCAGCAGGGTGCCCCTACCTGGGCCTGTCCATCCTGCGCCCCCCACCCCAGCGACCCGGCCAGCAACCCCTGCAGTGCGGGTCCAGCCCCGACACACCAGCCGACACTCCGAGTTCTATCAAGAGTGGCGTTTATTCTCCTCGTGGAGGTGCGGCGCTCCGGGGAGCTGGTGCTATTGTGCTTAGGAAGGAGGTCTGTCCGTCCGTCCGTCTGTCCGGCCGGCCCGGCCCCAAACGGGGGCGGAAGAGGGGCGCGGCCCGAATAAAAATCCCGGCCTGTTCCGGGTGGGAGTATATGTACAAGGCGGCGGGGCGCAGGCGGGGGTGGAGGCGGGGCGGGCCGGCGGCCGCAGCCCCCACCCGAGGGCCCCCGCATCTCGGGCCCTGCTGTAGAATCAGTACAAAATAGGTGCTACCTAAACGTTCCTTCTACCTGAATTCGCTAAGTCGGTTATTGTGCTGCTTAGTTATGGGGGCAGGAGGGGGCCCATGGCTTTCCACGGCGGGGTGGGGGGTGGGGTGGGGAGAAGCAGGAGGCCCTGGCCGGCCCGCTGCCCTCCGGCCTTCTCCCTCGGTAGGCAGACAGGCGTGGGGGAGGTGGGTGCCTGTGTGTGCGTGTGCATGCGGGTGTGCCCGGCACAGGCGGGCAGGCCCCCGCTTGGGAGCTGTGTGGGCATCGACCTGGGATGTAGGGGTTGGGGGTGTGGGCCCTGCCTGCAGAGGAGGCAGCTGAGCGGCCGCGGGGCTGGGGCCCTGGGGGATGGGGCTGACCAAAGGCCGGCCGCCAGCCTGCACCTTTCCACTTGGCCTGGGGACCTGTCCCCACGGGCTGAGCCGGCGGCAGAGCCAGGGCATGGAATCCTGGGGTCGAGGTGTTTGTCCCGCATCAGGCCCAAGTCAGAGGCAGAGACCGACTACGCCCAGCACTGGCCCGGGGTGGGAAGATGGGGTGCGGGTTTGGGTTTAGGGATCTGGCCTCTCTCTTCGCCTCTGCCACCGTCCCTGGCACACCCAAGGGCGCTGGGCCCCGCCACCAATAGGCAACCCCCGCAGGCCGCCCAGGCCCTGGCAGACTCAGCAGTGGGCCTGACGCCTAGGAGGGAGGTACCCAATGCACACTCAGTGGGTGATCAACAACTAAAGGAGGGGTCCTGGGGCCACCCCCTGACACCGTCACACCGCCGGGTCCTGCCGTGGGGGGGCGGGGCGGGGAAGGGGGGGACAAAGGCTGCGCGGCCGGCCCCGCGCAGCATCCCTGATCTAGGGGCCTAGGGGGCAGCGGGGCGGGGATACCTGATTCTCAGTCACTAGAGGCGGCGGCAGCTTCGCATGCAGTGCGCATTATTGCTCTATATCGGCATCGGACTAGCTAAGAGGAGGAGGGAGCGGGCAGCCCCGGGAAGGGACGGGAGGAGGGCTGGGGCTGCATGCAGTGACGTCACAACGGCGGCGGCCAATGGGGAGGGCCCTTGGGGCGGAGTCGCCGCCGCCGAGGCTTTGGCATAGACGGGCGAGAAGTTGGCAACCGAGTGGGGCGGGGCCTGCGGCTCGGGGGCGGGGCCTACGGCTCCCAGGAGGCGGAGCCCGTGGGCGGGGAGCGCGGTCCTGGGCATCCCGAGCCCCGGGCGTCGACGGGAAAGGATGCGCCTCGGCGCCCCTTCCCTGACCCGAGTGCAATCCGTTCATAAATAAAACGTTAAAATACAGAAAAGAAAAACCCGACGCATCCGCACCCCCAGGGGGCTTTACCCGCAAAGCGAATACAGAGAGGTGTGTGGAGGGCCGCCCGGGCCTGCCTGCTGGGCCCCGGGGACGAGGGAGGGGGGCCCCGGGGCAGGACGGGGGGCGGGGGCGGGGGGCTGAGAGGTCGGAGAAGTCCATGCGATTCGATATGCGTCATTATATTCGTATGGAGGACAGAGCCCGGGGGGGGGGGGGGCTGGGCTGGAAGAATCTGATTTGGCAGAGAATGCGAGGCGAGGGTGAGGGAGCGGCTCGGACTGAGGCCCCGGAAGGAACCCGAGGGGGAGGGCGCCGCCGTCCGCCTCCCTCCCTCCCGGCCCCCCGCGCGCCTCACACTCTCGGGGCTCAGCTGAGACTGGGGGGCGGGGAGCCTTCGCAGGCTGAGCCCCCGCCCCCGCCGGGCCTGCTGCCGGGGAGGGGCCGGCTCCCTGGACTCCTGGGCCGCGGGCTTGGCCCCGGACGGCTCGGGAAGGGGTTGGGAAGACCTGAGTCTCTGCGGCGCGATCCGGGGCCCAGAGGAGGGAGGAGGGGCGCTCCCTGCCTCGCCCCGCCCCCCGCCTTCAGAAACCTAAGATGAGGTTCGGTTCTGGGTCTCCTCGACCCTATTGCTGGGGAAAAGCCTGGGGCACCCTGGAGGGGAAGGGAGGGAGCTCGGGGTGGGTCTCCCCTCGGGACCCTATTGCTTGAAGGGGCAGGCGAGGCCCCAGGCGGGCGAGGCGGGGGCCCCCTCCCCCTATTGCTGCGAGGAGGGGCCCGCCCTCCGGCCCCTCCCTCCACCCGAGCGCCGCCGCCGCCGGCGGAGACACGTCTGGGGGCCCGTATTGCTGAGAGCCAACCCGGCCGACCGGCGGGGGCGCGGCCGCCGCCCTAAGCCTGCACCGGGCTGAGCTGCGGCGGCGCGGCCGGGGCCGGGGCGGGGGCCGGGGCCGCGGGGCCGCCCTTGAAGCAGGCGGACTCGTAGTGCTTGTTGAGATAGGACTTGAGCGCGAAGCTCTTCTTGCAGCGCTTGCACTGGAAGTGCTTGAAGGCCGAGTGCGTCTGCATGTGCGCGCGCAGGTTGGAGCGGTCGGCGAAGGCCTTGCCGCAGTGCGCGCAGCCGAAGGGCTTCTCGCCGGTGTGCGAGCGCATGTGGCCCTGCAGCAGCCAGGGCCGCGAGAAGGCCTTGCCGCACACGCCGCACTTGTGGCGCAGGTCGTGCGTGAGCAGGTGCATGGCCATGGCCGGCATGGACACGTACACCTTGCCGCACGTCGGGCAGCGCCGCGCCAGCTGGCTGTCCAGGCTGCGGTGCGTCTGCTTGTGGCGGCTCAGGTTCGAGGACGTGGCGTACGTCTTGCCGCACTCGCCGCAGGCATGCCGGCCCCCCGAGCCGCCGGCGCCGGGCCCCGGGCCCGCGCGCGCCTCCGCGCCGGCCCCCCCGCGCGCGCCGCCGCCCCGGACCCCGGACCCGGACCCGGACCCGGACCCGGACCCCGCCGCGCGGGACCCAGCCGCGGCCCCGCCGCCTCTGGAGCCGTCGGAGGCCGGAGCCGAGGCCGTGGCGGGGGCGGCTGCCTTGCGGCGCGAGCGGCCGTCGGTGATGAAGAAGGCGTCGGCTGCGTAGCCCTCGCTGACGGCCGCGTCGCCGTTGATGTAGCCGCCCGCGGCCGTGGCCAGCTCCGGGCGCGGCGTGGGCGGGGGCGCCGAGCCCGCGGCCGCCGGGCCCAGCTCTCCCCGCACGGCCGCCGCGTACATGGGCTCCGGGGACGGCCCCTTGAGCAAGGCCGCCTCGGCGTCTCCATCGTAGACGGAGGTGGGCCCCGCGTAGTCGTTGAGGTATCCTGCGGGCCGGGGCGGACGGATGGGCGGACGGCGGGACAGGAACCAGCGGGGCGGTGGAGGAGACACCGGGGTCCGAGGAGAAGGACAAAGGGAAAGGGTCCAAGGGTCGGGGGACCGGGAGGACGGAGGTGGAGAGAGGAGAGGAGAGGAGATGAGACCGAGCCCGGCCGGGCCCCACCCTGCCAACCCCGGGCCCCACCCTCGCCGGGGGAGGAGGGAGGCCCCCCTTTCCGCAACGCCTCAAGGTCAGGGGGGAGGGGCGGTGCTTCCCTCGCCCTCCTTCCCGTCCCGCCCCTCCCCCTCGGGTTCTCCCCACTTCAGCAGTTTTCCCTGATTATGCAACACACTGCAGACCCGCAGCGCACAAAGCCGGGGCTGCCGGCCCAGGGACCCCGTCACCACCGCCTCTGGGGTTCCCATTGGCTTTGGGGGGGGGGGGCGGCGAGGGGAGGAGACAGAGCCTGCAGCCAGCCTGGATAATCACCCTCTCCTGTCCCCTAAGTCCCCCCACAAGCCTGGGAGCCGGGTACCCCACAGCCCTCCGGCCCGCACTCCTACCACCTCTCTTCGCCCCAGGCCCCAGGCCCCAGCCGTGGTGACCCCTCTGGCTCCAGCCCTACCCCCCCTCCTTACATCTGCTTCTCCCCACAGTCCCTTCCATGCCCTGCACCCCGGGGTCCTACCTTGCTCCCCATGGCTCTCTCCCCCCAGGCCTAACCCCTATGGAGGCCTCCCTGAGCCAGGCCAGCAGCCGGGCAGGTGTCCAGCAGGGGACACCTCGGGGACAAGCTGCAGGCAGGGTGTCATTCATACTGGAATCTGCAGTTCTCAGGCACAAGATGGTGCTCACAACCTCAGTCACAAGCGCACACAAGCTCTGGCTCTATCACCCCTGGGGTCCCCTGGCCTTGGGACACATCACCCACTAATGCGGGTCCCACATGCAGCCACCCTCCCCCCAACCCACATGAGCTCCGCCAGGGCAGCCCGTCACATGGGTGCACGGTGGCCCAGAATCACAGGGTCCCTCGGAGGGGCACACAGGCAGGTACACCCTCACACAGGGTCACACACGCACACACACACACACACACACACACACACGCACAGTCACATGGCCACACGCAGTCACATGGGCGCACACACAGGGGCTCATGTTCCTGCAGGCCACACTGGTTCTGCCACCCCGTGTGGCTGGCACCCCCAGCATCCTCGCCCACCCACATGCTAACAGTTGTCCTTGAACTTGGGCTCCCTCACACAAAGAGCCTCCCCCTGCTCCCAGCACTCCGGGCCTCCCTTGTCCACCACCCGCCCACCCACATCCTTCCTCCTGACCCCGGCTGCAGGGAGTAGCTGCCGATGCTGCCTCTGTGGTGCCTTCTCCCTGGCAGGTGGGCAGCCCCCCCCCCGACCCCCCAGACCCCCATGCCCACTCCCTGCAGCTCACAGAACTCCCTTGCTCGCCCTAGCAAGCCGTTCTGGCGGTGTTGCCAAAGCAGAGAGGCGGGCACTGAGCAGGCCTGGGTCTCTGGGTGTGGGTCTGCATGCACCCCTAGGTCCTATCCTGTCAGCAGGGGTCCATGTGGCGTGGGCAGTGGTGCGGGTCATTGTGCACCTTCAGGCACTTGCTGGCCCTGACCCCGGCCCCCCACCCTCTTTCCTGCATGGACAGGGCCCCTGCTGGGCCTGAGGCCAGCTCGGGCCTGTCTCTGCGTTTGCTTCTCCCCAACCCCCATCTCCATCCACTCCACCTCCCTCTGGCCTTCCCTAGGGTCTCTCTCCGGGGGCCCCTGCCCCCCACTCCCCCCAAGCGGAGGCTGGCGTCCCGCGCCCACCTTTCTCCTGCAGCCGTGCGCCGAGGTCGCCGCGGGCGCGCCCGTAGGAGCTCTCGAGGTCCGCGGAGGAGAACGTGTCAAGTTTGACCTTCTTGACCAGGAAGGACCTGGGCATGGTTTCTGCGGGACTCCGGCGCTGCGGGCCAGCGGAGCCGGGGCGTGGGGGGGCTGCGGCCGCGGCGAGGCCCCGTCACCATCCAGCGGCGCTGCGGGCGGCCGGGTTTCCACGCTGGCCTCCTCTGGCCTCCTGCCTCCCGGCGCTTCCTCCTCCTCCTCGGCTCCTCCGGATCCTCTTCGGCGTCCTCCCCTCCCTCTTTTCTCCGCTCTCCTCTTCCTTCCGTCCTTCCTTCCTTCTTCCTTCTTCCCTTCCTTCCTCCCCTCCTTCCCTCCTCTGGTCCCGGCTTCCCAGCCCGCAGTGCCGCCCCTGGACAGGCGGGGGAGGGGGCTGGGGGGTGGGAGGGGGGGAGCGGCTCCGTCCCGGGCCCGGAGGCTGCGAGTGGGTGCAGGGCTGGCCCGGCTCCGCAGCCCCCGGCCCCTCCCCCCCGCCACCGCGGCGGAGCTCAGTCAGCGGCCCCCCATGCCCCCGGGGGCGGCGGCGCCGGGCCCGGAGAGCGCGGCGGCGGCGGCGGCGGCGGCAGCTTCAGCACCGCGGCCAGCGCCGGCCCGGCCAGCACCTCGGCCAGCGACCCGGCGCGCAGTGCGGCGCGGGGGGCGGCGGGGCGGCGCGGGCTCGGCCGGGCGGGCGGGGGTCCCCGGCGGGGGGCTCCGGGAGGCTGGCTTTATTGTTCTGCAGCCCGAGCGGCGGCGGCGGCGGCGTCTTTGGCGGCGGGCGGGGGGCGGGGGGCGGGGGTCCTCGGGGGAGGGTGCGCGGGGAGGGCGGGCCGAGGGGGAGGGGGAGGGAGTGACGAGCTCGGGGGCGGGGCTGGGCGCCCGGACGCTCTGAGCCCGGCCTCCCGCGCCCGCGGCGCCTCTGCTGCGGCCGGGCCCGGCCTCCGGCTTTTAAAGCCCGGCCGCTGCGGGCGGGGCGGGGCGCGGGCGGCGGAAATGGCCGCGCGGGGCGGCCCGCCGGGGCCTCCGGGGAGGGAAGGGTCCTGGGGGTGCGGGGCTCCGGCTCCGTGAGGTTCCCCGCGCGGCTCGGGGGACGGAGGCCAGGCGGCCGGCGGCATTGTCGGGGGCGGGGGCGGCGGGGGCGCTCGGCCTGGGCCCCACGAGCCCGGGGGTTGGGATCGCTCGGGAAGGGACGCCTGGCAGAGCCCGGCTTGGGCGGCCTCGCTTTGGGACGCGGAGGCCTGAGACCTGCGGGGGCGGGCGGGGGAGGCGGAGGCGCGGGAGCGGGTGCTGAGGCAGCGAAAGCGCAGCGTGGACGCTCCGCGCGCCGGTGCCGCAGTGTCTCCCTGCGCCCGGTCACCCGGGCTGACCCCGCGCCTCCGCCCGCCTGTCCCCCCGCGCGGCGACGCAGCGAGCGGGGTGGGGAAGGGAAGAGGGGCCGCCACCCCCTTGCCCCAGAAATGTGGCTTCCTTGGTGGCTCTCCGCCCTTCGCGCGGCTGCAGCTCCCCCACTCCTCCTGGCCCCCGCGGCCCCGCAGCCGGGCGGACACCCTCCCGCGGCCGCCCCCCGGGTTTGCAGCCCCCAGGACGTTAGGCCCGTGGCCTATGGCGGGGCGCGCGGGTGCGGAACCGGAGGGGAGGTGCGAGCGGCACAGTGGCCGCGTGGGGACATAGGTCCCCTCCTAGGGTTCGGCTCTGCCATTGTCTGCGCCCCCACAGGGGGGTCGGGTCCCCCTGCGCCCCACTTTCCCGGGGACCAAGGTCGCAGGGGTGGCTGCGGGGGCAGCGCCAGCGCGGGGAGCGGGAGGCGCGTGCACCGGGCGCGGCGCGGTGACCTTGTGCGGGGCCGGTAGCGCGCGGGGCCGGGGGCGCGCGGGGCCGGGGGCGCGCGGAGCAGAGTGCTGAGCTCAGCGCCTCGCCGCCGCCTGCGCGGCGCCCGCTTCCTCCCGCGTCTCCGCCACGCAGCCAGCCGCGCCGGGCGGGTGCGGACCAGGCCGGTCACAGGCCCGCTTTGTGGCCCGCGACCCCGGCCGTGGCGACGGCGGGACATCCATCTTGCGTGGCAGGCGCTCCCCGGGGGCGGGGGCGGGGCTCGGCCGCCCCCTTATCGCGGAGCCGCAGCCGGAGAGGTCCGAGGTGGGGGCGGGGACCGGCATCCTCCCAGGGGGGCCGGGCTGAGGCTCAGCCGGAGACCCAGGGCCAATTAGCATTTTGATTGCGGGGCCGGGGGCCCATCTGGACTGAAGCCTAATTATGGGCGAGCCCTCCAGGTGCCGGCGGTGCGTGCCAGGCGCGGGCGGCTCCTCTCCCCGCCCGCCCAGCTCCTGGCTTTCGGTCAGCCGCCACCCCTCCGCATCCCCGACCGCAGCCGTCCTGCCGCCGGTTCTTTGTCCCTCCCTCATCACCTTCTCTCTTCCCTGGTTTGGGTCCCTGCCTCTCCCAGTCCACGTCCCCACCTCGCGGTCCCCAACCTCTGGGAAGAGGAGGCGTCAGAGCTCCCACACATGGGTCCCGCGGCCAGTGCTCCCCAGAGGACCTGTGCGGGCCCTGGCTCTCCACGCCTGGGGGAGCCCGGCAGGGAGGGCAGCTGGGCCCAGGCCTTGGTCATCGAAACGGAGCCGCCTGGGTGTGGAGCGCACATGCGTCCGGCTCAATTACTTGGGCCTCCGCGTCCTGACACCCCCTTCCCCCAATCCCAAGGTCCCCGTGCCCCAGTCCTAGGATTCAGCAAGGAGAGGCTGGAAGGGACAGTTGGTGATTCTTACATTTTTTAAAGTATTTTTTAAATGATTTTTAGAGAGAGAGGAAGAGAGATAGAGAGATAGAAACATCAAGGAGAATCATGGATCAGCTGCCTCCCGCACAGCCTGTCCTGGGGATGGAGCTTGCAACCTGGGCCTGTGCCCTGACCAGGATCCCACAGGCAGCCTCTTGTTTCCTGGTCCAGGCTCAGCCACAGAGAACGGGAGGCCCAGAGCAGAGGCGCTATGTTGCAGGAGAGGAGAGGGGGTCCCCAGGCACCTCCCGGATGCCCCCGCAGACCCAGCCAGGTGGCAGGACACTCCAGTGCCCTGGACACACCAGTGCATGTGGCCGCCCACCAAGCCTCTGGCCTCAGGGGCTGTTCCCCAATCCGGGTGCACCTGGGCCTGGCCCGTCTCCTTGTGGGACAGGAGGGAGGCCCCGGGGGCTAAAAGGCTAGGTTCTGAGGGAGAGACTCCGGCCCAACCGGCCTGGCTCAGGGGTTGAGCGTTGACCTATGAACCAGGAGGTCACCGTTCGATTCCCGGTCAGGGCACAGCCCCGGGTTGCCAGCTTGATCCCCAGTGTGGGGCATGAAGGAGGCAGCCGATCCATGCTTCTCTCTCATCATTGATGTTTCTCTCTCTCCCTTCCTCTCTGACATCAATTTTAAACACACATATTTCAGGGAGAGATTCTGAGCATGTGTCCCCAGCATTCTGCACCCCCAGAGCCAGTAAGCCTGTGTGTGTGCCCACTGTGGACCCTATGGCCATCTTCCGACCCCCTTCTGCCTATGAGGCTCCAGCCCAGCCCAGCCTGGAGGGGCCCCAAGCCCCCTCCCTGGCCTCCTGGATCCTGCCTTGGCTAGGAGCCTCCTTTGGCCTGGCTCCATGACACCTCAATACCCCCCCACCCCCAGCCTTCTCTTCCCCGCAGACACTGAGTGCGTGATGGGGTGTGTTGCCTTCCCAGAAGTCCTGATGTCCTGGGTGCAAAGTGGACGGGCAGCCCCTCAGCTGCTGGTTCTGGCAGATCTTGGGGGGAACACAGTTACCTCCACACAGTGTACATTTTTAAAAAACATATGTTATTGATTTTTTTACAGAGCGGAAGGGAGAGGGTAGAAAGTTAGAAACATTTATGAGAGAGAAACATCGGATCAGCTGCGTCCTGCACACCCCCTACTGAGGATGTGCCTGCAATTAAAGTAAATGCCCTTGACCGGAATCGAACCTGGGACCTTTCAGTCCTGCTTAAGCCAACACTATCCACTGAGCCAAACCGGTGAGGGCACAGTGTGCATTTTTGAAAATATATACTTTATTGATTTTTTACAGAGAGTAAGGGAGATGGGTAGAGAGAAACATTGATGGCTTGGATGATGCTACCTCAGTCACGTGGTTCAGGTGGCGCCTGCCACGTGTTTCTACTATAAAAGTACTATTTTTTCATTTTCTGTGCTCTATTCCAGTGATTTTCAAATGTGCTGAAATTTTTTTTAATTAAAGGATGCTGAGAGATGGAATATCAGGAAAGTCATTTTATTTATTTTTATATTTTTAATAGATTTTACAGCGAGGAAGGGAGAAGGGTAGTTAAAAACACGGATGGAAGAGAAAGACCAATCAGCTGCCTCCTGCAGGCCCCACCCTGTGGATGGAGCCCACCACCCAGGCCTGTGCCCTGACTGGGAATCGAACCCTGACCTCCTGGTTCATACGTCGATGCTCAACCCCTGAGCCACACCGACCAGGCATTGCTGCTGTATTCTTAGAAAGTAAGTCACTAAATCCAGCCCACACTCAAGGTTCCCCTGATTTTTACATTGATTTTTAGAGAGAGGGGGAAGGGAGTGGTAGGAAGAGAAACATCGATGTGAGACTAAAACATCCGTAGGCTGCCTCCTGCCCATCCCCTCTGGGAATCAAACCGGCAACCTTTCAGAGCCGTGAATGACACCCCACCCACTGGGCCACACCAGCCAGGCGGGTCTCATGGAGATTTTGACTGTTTCACAGAGGGCCCTGCACATTGTGCGGCCGGTCCTGGCCCCAGGGACACGTCGCTGGACACATTCCAGAAAGACCTGTGTCCCCGCCCGGCCACGAGGGAGCATGCTCACCCAGAGAACCAGGCGGCCTTCTCTGTTCTCTGCATCCAGGAGGCAGGAACACCTACTGGGCCAGGGAACATGGCCTGGGGTTCCAGCACACATGCGGTCCCACCCAGCCTGTGGTGACCTCTGGCCTCCCACTCTGTGGCAGGAACGTTAGGGCTGTCCAGTGCAGGACCACCTCCGGGCAAGGGGCTTGGACCTGAGGTCGTGCCCCATCCATTTGCTGCTGCCCAAGAGGGGCAGTGCCTCCACACCCACCTGGGACGGGCCCCACCGTCTAGGTTTCCAGCTGCTCCTCCACTTCGCTCCCACCGCTGCCCCCACCTTTTTTTTTTTTTTTTTTTTAAATATATTTTATTGTTTTTTTACAAAAAGGAAGGGAGCCCAAGCTGGTTTGGCTCAGTGGATAGAGCATTGGCCTGTGGACTGAAAGGTCCCAGGTTCGATTCCGGTCAAGGGCATGTACCTTGGTTGAGGGCACATCCCCAGTAGGGGGTGTGCAAGAGGCAGCTGATCGATGATTCTCTCTCATCAATGTTTCTAACTCTCTATCCCTCTCTCTTCCTCTCTGTAAAAACTCAATAAAAAATATACTAAAAAAAAGAAAAGAAAAAAAGAAAAGGAGAGGGATAGAGAGAAACACTGATGAGAAAGAAACATCAATCAGCTGCCTCCTGCACACCCCCCATGGGGATGTGCCCACAACCAAGGTACATGCCCTTGACCAGAATGGAAACCGGGACCTTTCAGTCCGCAGGCCAATGCTCTATCCACTGAGCCAAACTGGTTAGGGCCCACTTTTTTTTTTTTTTTAATATATTTTATTGATATTTTACAGAGAGGAAGGGAGAGAGAGAGAGAGAGCTAGAAACGTCGATGAGAGAGAAACAACTAGCTACCTCTTGCACACCCCCTACCAGGGGTGTGCCTGCAACCAATGTACATGCCCTTGACTGGAATCAAACCTGGGACCTTTCAGTCTGCAGACTGACGCTCTACCACTGAGCCAAACCGGTTTCAGCACCACTTTTTTTTTTTTTTTAATTATTTATTTCAGAGAGGAAGGGAGAGGGGGGGAGAGAGAGAAACATCAATGATAAGAGAGAATCATGGATATCGGGTGCTCCTGCAAGCCCCACTCTGGGGATCAAGCCCGCTACCTGGGCCTGTGCCCTGACCTGGAATCAAACCCTGACCTCCTGGTTCACAGGTCCACGCTCAACCACTGCGCCACACTGGCTGGGCTACCCCCCAGCTTTCGCCCCAGGGGCGCTGCTCACTGACAGCAGCCTGGAGGCCCTGGGAGGTGAGCACTGAAAGACCTCGGAGGGGGCCTCCCCGCATGGAGAAGAGGACCCCCAGAAGCAAGTGGCAGCTTTATTGAGAGGAGGGAGGGGAAGGGAGGGGTGGGGAGGGAGAGGAGGGGTGGGGGTGGGTGAAGAAGGGTGAGGGTGAGAGGGGAGGGGGTGGGTGTGGGAGTGAGAGGGGAGGGGAGGGGAGGGGAGGGGTGGGGGGGAGGGGACGGGCTTGTGCTCCGTGCAGGAGCGGAGCGGCAGCCTCACACGTCCAGGTATGACTGGCTTTCCGAGTAGGGGCTTAGGAAGCCTCCCACGTCGTTCTCTGGGGCTAAGGGGACCCCCAGCGGCCAGTGGCGGATCACGTGCCGGTAGGAGGTGGTCAGGAAGTCGAAGTAGTTAATGTTGAGCTTCCGGGCGATGTGCCGTCCCAGGAACTCCACTAGCTGGGGAGCGAGGGGCGGGCGGGCGGCGCTCAGCGCTCCGGGGACGGGAGCCGCGCCCGCTCCGCCGCCGCCGCCGCAGCGCCCAGGCCCGGCCCCGGGAGACGGCGCCGTCGGAGGCCCTAGGCCGCGGGGGAGCGAGGCCGGGCCGGGCGGACCCACCTCGTAGTGCTCCGACCGCTGCACGAGGATGAGCGGCTCCAGCCTGTGGCCGCACAGAACCAGCTGGAAGAAGCTCCTGCCGCGGGCTGGAGGGGGCGCGGCTCAGCCCGAGGCCGGGGCGGGGGCGGGGCTCGGGAACCCGGGGTGGGCCCGCTGGCCGCCGCTCCCGCCCCCGCCCCCGCCCCCGGCCTGGTCCCCGGCCCCCCGCCCGCCCCGCCCCTCGTCACCGTCGGAGCTGAGCGCCAGGCGCACGTAGACCAGGTGCATGGGGCCCTGGCACACGGTGCGGCCCTGGATGGAGAAGTGGTAGGTGCCGAGCACGTGGTTCAGCACCAGGCGGCGCCGCGGCAGCGACGAGATCGTGATCCACAGCCCCACGCCCACGCCGTAGGCCGGGAAGCCCCACGTCTCCTGGTTGCGCACCTGCTGGCGGCGCCAGGGAGCCTCTGAGCGGGCGGGGCGGGCGCCGGGGCGGCCGGGGTGCGGGGTGCGGGGGGGGGGGGTAAGGGAAACGGGGGAGGGGAGAACCTCAGACCTGGCTCACGAGGCCGAAGATGACGAGGAAGAGGCAGACGAGGAAGAGCAGCGCGCCCTTCCACAGCGTGTCCAGGTAGTACTCGAGCACGAAGACTGCGCGGGAGGGGCGGTGCGTGAGGAGGGGGCTGTGGTCGGCCCCGGGCCTGGGGCTGGGACCTGTGTCCAGCCGGTGATTCCGGGCCCAGGCCAGCCCCGCCCCCGCCCTTCAGGCCTCAGGCCCGCCCGCGCCGCGTCCCGCCGCCCCCGCAGGGCGCCCGGCTCCGCACCCTTAGGCTGCAGCTGCGTGAACGGGTAGAAGCTGTTGTTCTTGATGCGCCAGGCCAGGTAGCGCTCGTTGCAGCAGAGGTTGACCGCCCAGAGCTGGAAGCGCTTGCCGCAGCGAGTGGGGAGGTTGCTGATCAGGTCCCCGGGGACCTGGGTCTGGGCCAGGCGTAAGCGGTCAGCCGGGCAGACTTCTGCCCCCTCCCCGGCCACACACACACCCAGCCCTCCCGGGACCTGGGAGAAAGTTGCCAGGGCTGCAAGGAGGAAGGAGCTGGAGCGCTCAGGCGATCAGCAGGGGAGTCCTCAGGCGGCAGTCCAGGCTGGGCTGCGGGGTGCGCTCGGGTTCTAGAAGCTTGGGGCGCTGGGTTCTAGAAGGGTCTGTATTGTTGACCACCCCCTTCCAAGGAGAGTCCCCTGGCCAGGTCCTTGTTGTGGGCGCTCACGGCCCACCCCACCTGTGGGAGGCTCCTTGCACAACCTGGTTCACCTTTCCTGAGGGATGGGGTGGTGAGACACCCCGGCCTCACACCAAACCCTAGAGCTGAGCCCGGCCGTCCCCTGCACCGCACCTGCCAGGCCAGAGCCTCCTAACCGAGGCGGCTCACCTCGGCATCTCCGAGGGTGGGACACACAATCCAGATTCCAGTCCAAGGCACAGCCCCAGCGCCCTCTCACCCTGACAACCCCCCTCAACCAAAGGCAGACTCGGGATCCTGTGGGACCCCCCAACAAAACCAAACACAAAACAAACTCCCGGCCAGCTCTAGCCCCAAGTGGTTCCCTCAGGCATAAGCCCCGACCACCCCCCCAACAAAAGGCCACACAATTCTTAAAAATGTTTATTGTCACAAAATGCTCCAACATCTAAAACCGGAGAAGGGTGCAGGGCCGGGTGACCTAGCTGGGGGAGGGCGGGCAGGTGAGCAGCTGCTCCAGGCACCCCTGGACCTCCTCTGGGCCGCGGTACGCCCGCTTCAGGCCCCTCGGAAGGCAGCGGCAGGACTCCAGGTTGAGGTACCGCAGGCCCGGGCAGCTGCTGATCACAGAGCTGTGGGAGCAAGGTAGGCCATGGGGCATGGGGCCACTGGCTCCCCGGAGACCCGGGCCCTGCCAGGGCTGGGCCAGGCCGGGAGCCCTCTCTGCCACCCAAGCCACGGAGGCCCAATGCCAGTTCCCTTGGTGCCCCCAAGCCCGACTCCAAGCCCCCTTTGCCCGCATATGCTCCCCTTTCAGACCCTGGAGCTGGCGAGCCAGGCAGGACAGGAGGCCGGCCATCCTGGCTCCAAGGGACGGGGGAGGCGGTGCTGACCTGACTGTGCTCGGTGTGACCCGGGTGCCCCTGAGGTTAAGGGAGCACAGGGCTGGGGGGGAGCCCCCGGGGGCGCCCGAGAAGGCGGCCAGGGCCTGCTCCAAGTCCTTCTCACTGAAGCCCTGGCCACTCAAGTCCAGCTCCCGCAGAGTGTGGCACCACTTATGGGTCAGCAGGGGGCTGCCCTCCTTGGCGAGTGTCAGCCGGTCTGACACGCCGTACAGGCCCAGGTACAGCTGCTCCAGCTCTGCAGGCGAGAGGGGTGGGCATGAGCTGTGGGGTGGGCCAGGGCCCCCCGTCACACCTGCCCTGATGCCACCCAGGGGCGCTGACCCTGACAAGGCAGGTCATGCAGGCCGACGGGTGTGACCCGGGCGCAGCCTCGAAGGTCCAGCAGGCGCAGGCCGGGGGAGCCCCGGAGCAGGCGGCTCAGAGCCTCGTCGCTCACAAAGCTGCAGGTGGAGCCGGCCAGGCAGAGCTCCTCGAGGCGGGGGAAGCCTGGGCCGGGAGTCGCCGCTCGCCCCGCAGGTTTGGGCAGCCATATCAGGTTCAGCAGCCGCAGCACCTGGGGGCAAGGCCCAGGCTGCAGGTGGGGAGGGGCGTGCCAGGCGGGAGAGGTGGGGCGGCGGGTACCTGCAGCTGGGGGCAGCCTCTCTGCAGGGCCTCCAGGGGCAGCTGGAGGGGCGTGTTGTTCCGGTGAATGCCAGTGCTCACCTCCAAGAGCTGGAGCTGGGGGCAGCAGCCACCCTGCAGAAGTGGGGGCGCGGGAAGGCCGGGGGGGGGTCAGTGGCCTGGCAGTCTCTGGCTCGGCACCAACTCGGCTCCTGTCTGTCACCAACCTACCAGCAGGGCGCCCAAGATGGCAGTGGTCTGGGAGCCGTAGGTCAGCCACAGCTTGCGCATTCGAGGCCCCACCTCCTCCAAGAAGTTCACCACAGCCGTGGACTCCACCTGAGGACCCAGCACAGGGGTACCTGTCACCGTGGCTTGGGCTTCTTCAGGGCCCCTGGGGACACAGGGCTCACCATGGAGTGCTGGACGTCCAGGCTGTGGAGCTGGGGGCAGGCTCTGGCCAGCGTGACCAGAGTGTCAGAGGTCACACCGTGGCAATCGGAAAGCTTGAGGAAGGTGAGCCGAGGACAGGACTCACTGACCAGCTGCAGAAGAGAGAGGCGCGGCGGGATTGAGGGAGGGCAGGCCGTGGTCAGCAAGAGAAAGAAACCAGCGGCTGGTACCACGCTCCTGCCTCGGCTACAACCTCCTTTCCTCCCTTGCCAGGCCCACCGGGAGCTCCTAATATTTCTGACACCTCCCTGCTGGAGGAGACAAAAGGGAAGGAGAAGCAGGCAGGTATCCCCGTGGGCCAGGGTTGGACGCCACGGTGCCTGGCCCACTCTCTGGACGCCATGGGCAGCCCCAGGTTTTCGCAGCTGGTGTGCAGGACAGCCTCCGGCACTCACCTTCAGCACGGGATGTACCTGGGACTTCCAGTGGATGAGGGTCAGCCTCTGGAGCTGTGAGAACCTGGGGAGAAGGCAGAGGCTGAGCTGCAAATGTTCCCACGCTGCCTCCCCGCACAGCCCCTTGGTGCAGGGGAACAGGAAGGGGCCTGGGGCTTCCCACACCACAACGGGTACCGGAAGGGGATGAGGAAAAGAGGGGATGCCCCACCGACTGGGCATAAGCCACTCCAGGGAAGCCAGGAGCTTCTTCTCGGCCTTGGCGCCGCCTTTGGTGGATCGGCCGGCCAGCGGGGGCGACAGGGTCACGGTGTGCCAGAGAGCGGGCTGGGAGGCGGCCTCGTGCCAGCGGCGGCACACGCGCGCGGCCCTGGAAGAAACCCTCTGCTGAAGGGCCGCGGCCGGAGCCATCGCACCGGCGGCCGCAGCTCTTACAACGCCGCGGACGCTCCAGCAGACGCTCGTGGGGCTCTAATTGGAGCCCAGGAGACCGGCCTCTCGGGCACAAGTGTGCCCGTGCGGAGGCGCGCGGCTTCTGCCCCCGCCTCTGCCCCCCACACGGTGGCAACAGGTCCGCCACGCTCGACGGGCCCGAGGTACCTGCCGAGGAAGGGCATGGGCCCGTCCGCCGCCACCAGGAGCCCGAAAATCTGCAGCAGGATTTCCAAAGGAATGCGGTCGCCCCAGCCGGGGTCCGGCCCCTGCGGCGGCGCGGGCGCGGTGGTGGGTGCGGGCCGGGGCCTGGCCTTGGCCGCCGCGGCGCGGGCCCCGGGGGGCGGCAGCGGCTGGGCGCGGCGGGCGGCGCGGCGGTGGGCGCGAGCGCGAGCGGGCCCCGCGCCGGGCAGCACGAGCAGCATGCTGTCGGCCTGCAGCAGGTGGAACCCGGAGCCGCTCGGCGCCAGCCGGTCCCACCACCAGTCCTCGGCCGAGCGGGCCCGCTCCCCGGCCGGGGGCGCGCCCCGCACTCGGCGCCGGGCTCTCCGGACCCGCCGGACGCCCCCGGGAGCCATGGGTACTCGCTGCGCTCCGGGGACGGATCCAGGGGAGCGGAAGCAGCGGAACTTGACGGCGGAAGGGGCGTGTCGGGAGGGAGGGACTTGTCATATCTCCAACGAATCAGTGCCCACTTCCGTGGCGGAGCTTCCGGTGGGAAGACATTTCGGGATTTAACCGTGTTCGGGCCGGGGAGGTGGAATCTCCGCTGTCCTGGCCACATCCCCGACGGCTCTGGGCTGGAACCACGACCCTGGGCAGCAGGCCGCCTGGCGGGAGGCCGGCCACCGAGTCGGGGGTCGCTCGGGCGCTGGACCGGGAGGCGCGGAGACCCGGACGCCCTGGCTGCTGCCCACCGTCTCCCCCCGCCCCACGAAGGAGGCGGGGCCCGCGTAGGCCACACCCCTCAGAGCCCCACGGGGCTCAGCCTCGGGGCATCGCGAACGCTCCGCACTCCCGGGAGGGCGCTAAGCTGCGAAGGTAACCCTGGCGCCTGAGCGGTGCCTTTGTCCCCACGTCTACTCTGGGGGGTGGTCGTCTGGCCACTCAGGCCCGACGTGAGCTGCCTCTTGCTCATCCTCCAGCGGGGCTGCCCTGCACCTGTGCCGGGCTTCCCGCTTCCCCACCTGCTGCCTTGCTGTGTCGGGGTCCTGACCCGGAGGCAGGTGCTACTTGGTCTCCTTTGGAGCCTACCCCGCCCCCCCAGCCCCCGGGCACCCTCCGCTTCTCCGGGTCTTGGCTGTCTGACCTTCTGACTCTTGCGTCTCTTCCTTGTGATCCCGCATTTGCGTCTGTTTCCTTCAAGCTAGGAAAGGTCTTCGGTTTCTAGAAGAGCGGAAGCGCTTTCTTCGGACCGAGGTGTGCCCCGTCCTGTGGGGGCCCGCCTTGGCTAATGGCAGCGCCCCCACTGGGCCGCCTGGTGCTGACCCACCTGTTGGTAGCTCTCTTCGGCATGGGCTCCTGGGCTGCCATTAACGGGATCTGGGTGGAGCTGCCAGTGGTTGTGAAAGATCTCCCCGAGGGTGAGTGAGAGTTGCAGGCCACAGCGGGCCAGGCCGGCAGGGAGGCGGGCGGCAGCTGCTTTGCCTCTGATGTGGCCCCTCCCTTCCCTGCAGGTTGGAGCCTCCCCTCCTACCTCTCTGTGCTGGTGGCGCTGGGGAACCTGGGGCTGCCGCTGGTGACGCTGTGGAGGCGACTGGCCCCAGGCAAGGGCGAGCGGGCCCCCATCCTGGTGGTGCAGGCACTGGGTGTGGTGGGCACTGCCCTGCTGGCCCCCCTGTGGCAGCAGGTGGCCCCGGTGGCCGGGCAGGATCACTCTGTGGCCTTCCTGACCCTGGCCTTGGTGCTGGCGCTGGCCTGCTGTGCCTCCAATGTCACTTTCCTGCCCTTCCTGAGCCACCTGCCGCCTCCCTTTCTGCGGTCCTTCTTCCTGGGTCAGGGCCTGAGTGCCCTGCTGCCCTGCGTGCTGGCCCTGGCGCAGGGGGTGGGCCGCCTCCAGTGCCCGCCAGCCCCCGCCAACGGCACCCCTGGGCCTCCCCACTACTTCCCCGAGCGCTTTTCCGCCAGCACCTTCTTCTGGACACTGGCTGCCCTTCTGGTCACTTCGGCTGCCGCCTTCCAGGGTCTTCTGCTGGTGTTGCCGTTACCGCCGTCCGCGCCCGCGGGAGGCCTGGGGCCTGGCCATCGGGCGGGAGCCCCCGGAGCGCAGGAGGAGGCGGCGGAGGGAGAGGCCTCACCACTGCAGGAGCCACCTTTCCAGGCGGCTGGCACCCCGCCCGGCCGAGACCCTGAGGCCCATCAACTGCTCTCTGCCCGCAGTGTCTGCCTGCTGGGCCTGCTGGCTGTCACCAA